GAGAGAGAGAGAGAGAGAGAGAGAGAGAGAGAGAGAGAGAGAGAGAGAGAGAGAGAGAAAGTACAGATGGAGAGAGGAGAGAGAGACAGAGTGAGAGAGTTGAGATACAGAGAGAGAAGGGAAAGAGGGAGGGAGAGGAGGGAGAGGAGAGAGAGAGACAGACAGACAGACAGACAGACAGACAGACAGACAGACAGACAGACAGACAGAATAATAATGAAGAGGACCGCAATTCTTATCTATCTTCTCCCACAGTGGGACGATGGTTTAATCACGGTAAGCTGTGTGGGGGCTTTTCAATTCACCTTTTTTTGACTTTCTGGTTAAATGGAACTTCGGAAAAATTAAGAAGGTCTTGTAAAGGAATTTTTTTTATTATTTTTTTTTTTGGGGGGGGGGTTGATTAGCCAGCTTGAGGCGACCTGAACTGTGAGTGAGTGAGTGAGTGAGTTTGTTTATGAGTCATGGGAGGTGATTATGTACAGCTTCACGTGTGTTTGGGAGGTGATTATGTACAGCTTCACGTGTGTTTGGGAGGTGATTATGTACAGCTTCACGTGTGTTTGGGAGGTGGTTATGTGCAGCTTCACGTGTGTTTGGGAGGTGGTTATGTGCAGCTTCACGTTTGTTTGGGAGGTGGTTATGTGCAGCTTCACGTGTGTTTGGGAGGTGGTTATGTGCAGCTTCACGTGTGTTTGGGAGGTGATTATGAACAGCTTCACGTGTGTTTGGGAGGTGGTTATGTGCAGCTTCACGTGTGTTTGGGAGGTGATTATGTACAGCTTCACGTGTGTTTGGGAGGTGGTTATGTGCAGCTTCACGTGTGTTTGGGAGGTGGTTATGTACAGCTTCACGTGTGTTTGGGAGGTGGTTATGTACAGCTTCACGTGTGTTTGGGAGGTGATTATGTACAGCTTCACGTGTGTTTGGGAGGTGATTATGTGCAGCTTCACGTGTGTTTGGGAGGTGGTTATGTGCAGCTTCACGTTTGTTTGGGAGGTGGTTATGTGCAGCTTCACGTGTGTTTGGGAGGTGATTATGTACAGCTTCACGTGTGTTTGGGAGGTGGTTATGTACAGCTTCACGTGTGTTTGGGAGGTGATTATGTACAGCTTCACGTGTGTTTGGGAGGTGGTTATGTACAGCTTCACGTGTGTTTGGGAGGTGGTTATGTGCAGCTTCACGTGTGTTTGGGAGGTGATTATGTACAGCTTCACGTGTGTTTGGGAGGTGGTTATGTGCAGCTTCACGTGTGTTTGGGAGGTAATTATGTACAGCTTCACGTGTGCTGGGACGTGATCATACAGCTTCACGTGTGTTGCGACGCGATCATACAGCATCACTTGTACTGGGGACGTAAGCATACAGCTTCACGTGTGCTGGGGACGTGATCATACAGCTTCACGTGTGCTGGGGTGTGATCATACAGCTTCACCTGTGATTGGGACGTGACCATACAGCTTCACCTGTGCTTGGGACGTGACCATACAGCTTCATGTCTACTGGGGACGTGACCATACAGCTTCACGTGTGCTGGAGTGTGACCATACAGCTTCACCTGTGCTTGGGGACGTGACCATACAGCTTCACCTGTGCTTGGGGACGTGACCATACAGCTTCACCTGTGCTGGGGACGTGATCATACAGCTTCACCTGCACTCTATCTCTCTCAGCTTACCTGATCAGCTGTGATGTTGCCCTATAATTGGTCAAATGAGTTATTGACCTGAGTGTAATGACTCACCTGTCCAGGCCCTCGAACGAGCGAGCTAAAGCTTTTTTACATTCGCTATTTTTTGTGTTGCTTTGATTCATGAGTGTGGAGAACCGCAATAGCTTTTGGCTCCTGTTTTGTAAGCTTAAAGCTCTTTTTTTTTCAACAGCGATCTGTTGTATTTGGGTTTTTTTTTTCCCTGAAATCCGATCAGCCAAGCGACTTACAACCGGGTCAGCCAATTACTCCAGGGATGATCACAGGCGATCAATTGAGGGATCGATGCTGCCTTCTCCGGTGCAGGGGAGAGCGGGAAGCTCTGAGCTGAAGCTCACATTAATCCTGAGGTAAAGCTTAGATTAATCCTGAGCTGACACTCTCGATTAATCTCATTGAGTCACGCATGTGCTAAGTCCCTCCCTCGGTATCCTTACTGGGGGGACGTCTACCGGTATCTTTACTGGGGGCACGTCTACCGGTATCTTTATTGGGGGTACGTCCACCGGTATCCTTACTGGGGGTACGTCCACCGGTACCCTTACTGGGGGGACGTCCACCGGTATCCTAACTGGGGTACGTCCACCGGTACCCTTACTGGGGGTACGTCCACCGGTATCTTTACTGGGGGTACGTCCACCGGTATCCTTACTGGGGTCACGTCCACCGGTATCCTTACTGGGGTCACGTCCACCGGTATCCTTACTGGGGGCACGTCTACCGGTATCTTTACTGGGGGACGTCTATCGGTATCCTTACTGGGGGTACGTCCACCGGTACCCTTACTGGGGGACGTCTACCGGTATCTTTACTGGGGGTACGTCCACCGGTATCCTTACTGGGGTCACGTCCACCGGTATCCTTACTGGGGGCACGTCTACCGGTATCTTTACCGGGGGACGTCTACCGGTACCCTTACTGTGGGTACGTCCACCGGTATCTTTACTGGGGGTACGTCTACCGATATCCTTACTGGGGGTACGTCCACCGGTATCCTTACTGGGTCACGTCTACCGGTATCCTTACTGGGGTACGTCCACCGGTACCCTTACTGGGGGACGTCCACCGGTATCTTTACTGGGGGCACGTCTACCGGTATCTTTACTGGGGTCACGTCCACGGTATCCTTACTGGGGGTACGTCCACCGGTATCCTTACTGGGGGACGTCCACCGGTACCCTTACTGGGGTACGTCCACCGGTACCCTTACTGGGGGTACGTCCACCGGTACCCTTACTGGGGTACGTCCACCGGTACCCTTACTGGGGGACGTCCACCGGTACCCTTACTGGGGTACGTCCACCCAGTATCCTTACTGGGGTACGTCCCTCGGTATCCTTACTGGGGCCACGTCCACCGGTATCCTTATTGGGGGTACGTCTACCCGTACCTTTACTGGGGATACGTCCACCGGTACCCTTACTGGGTCACGTCCATCGAGACTTTCAGTGGTGTGGTGAGAGAAACGTCCATCGGGGATTAACACGGTCGGCCGACACTAGGCTACACGGACACGTGTCCCTGGAGTCCGTATTTGTCTCTAATATATTTCCACGCCACTGTTGCACACACAGGAGTGACACAGGAGTGACACAGGAGTGGCACAGGAGTGACACAGGCGTGACACAGGAGTAACACAGGAGTGCCTGACCGGTGAAACTCACCTCTAGACGTAATTACAGAATTTAACCTGATGTTTAGGGACGATCCGATTTTTATAATGTTATGCTGCTCATTAGTGGGGTTGTGGTTTAAGATTCAGCTACTTAGAACAAAAGTTCCAAAGTAGCACGGGCTATGGTGAGCCCGTAGTGGACTTTCCTGGCACAGGAGCGGGGCTGTAACTGTTAGTAGGGTTCCAGACGATCCTTTGGGTCAGGTGGTTAGTATAGATTTATGGTGTCAGTGTACGGATATACAATCCGTACATACAGTGTACGGATATACAATCCGTACATACAGTGTACGGATATACAATCCGTACATACAGTGTACGGATATACAATCCGTACATACAGTGTACGGATATACAATCCGTACATACCGTGTACGGATATACAATCCGTACATAAAATGTATAATTTAAAATAATGTTATGGATTAAAATACGATAGTCAGATAACTAATATTTAATATTATTAAATTGAGTGAACAACTGACATTTATCATGAATAATTCTTGGTCTACGTGTGCTCGTGTAAATTTCTTAACCTTCAAGGTATGTTGAATACACGGCTTTCATCATCACATCTAAAAGTCATCTAATTCATGAATCTCACTTTGAAATTTTTATTTAATACAGTAACTCCTTTGATCTGAGCTTAATGGAATCAGTGTAGGTTAAAAAGCTTCGTCCTGTCCAGAATGTCATGATTGCAGTGTACGGTCTAATTTCCAGCCCATTTTCTCTCTGGTATTTTCTAGCTGATTTTTGTTTAAGTTACTCCTCCGAAAAACGATTTGATGTATATTAATAAAGAGTTTGTTACATTATTTTTTAAACCTATTATCTTCTTTTTTTATAATATTTAATATTAATTTAAGACTTATTGTATTATATATATATCTTTTTAATTTTTGCTTTTTTTATATAAATAAATAAAGTTTCAATTTTATTTTATACAATTATCTGGTATCGTTTGTTTTGTCGTAATTAACTTAATTAAATACTTGTGAATTTGATTGTAAATTAACAGCTATTCATTTTATTATTAGTAATGTAAGTATTGAGTTTATTATATTAATCTACGGATAATTTTGATTCAATTTAAATGTCTTTTGTGAACTTTAAACATCTTTTTATAAGAGACCTCTGAGCACCCTCTAGTACAAGAACACTAATGCACTCTCTTCTAATTGCACCGTTCCATGCTTTATTCATTTTTCTTCTATTATTTTCTTTCACTCCTGTTTTTATAACATTCATCCCAGTCTTTGATATTTTTTTTTTCGCATAAACCTGCCACATCCAACTCTCTTACTTTAAAAGCTTTTGCCTCTTCCAAATTCCTCTCACATTTCAGTCAGCCATATGTTATTGTCTCCGTTTTCTGAGGCATGTGCAGGCTTGGGCTTTCAGAGCCTTGGCAAATTTCACCTTTTCCTGCGAATAACTTAATGTCTAACTCCATAAATTGTCTTGCAATATATAATTGTGGTTGATCCTGGTTTTAATGTCGGAAGATGATCAATTGGGTGGAAAGGTTATCATACGAAGCTATTAATTTCCTCTTTTTCTCTCTCTTTTTCTTCATAATTCTAAAAAACGGTTCCTTCTGTCCACAGGTTGCCCCGGGGGTCTCCTTAGGCGGGCTCACCTGTCTCACGTCTGTCCGCTGGACCCTAACACACGCTTAGTGAAAGTGACAACACTGTTATAGCAACAGGAAAGTGACGCTAGTATGTGCTATTTCAATAGAAAAGTGACGCTAGTATGTGCTATTTCAATAGAAAAGTGACGCTAGTATGTGCTTTTTCAATAGAAAAGTGACGCTAGTATGTGCTATCACAATAGAAAAGTGACGCTAGTATGTGCTATCACAATAGAAAAGTGACGCTAGTATGTGCTATCACAATAGAAAAGTGACGCTAGTATGTGCTATTTCAATAGAAAAGTGACGTTAGTATGTGCTATTTCAATAGAAAAGTGTGTTCCGTTAGTGCTGCTAGTGTGTCATATTACAACAGCAAGGTAATGTTAAGTGTATCTTATTTAAACGTGAAATTTAGTGTGAGAAAGACTGGGAAATAGAGGTTTAAAGTGTACTGATGTTCCTCCCCCCCCCCCCCCCCCACCCTTGTATAAAATACTTAACTAAGGAGCTTCATATTAAAGATCAGAATGTTCACAGTAACAGATGAACAAGTGTTGTGGCGATTGAACAAGAAATTCAGAATAAAATAAGACCATTTCCTATCTAGAATGTTGCTCAAATCTTCTCTGAAAAGTGAGACTGAATCTTTTCTTAAAAATAATCTCAATGTGGTCGGTTTTGTCCTTGCTAACATTGTAATTTTTGTTAACTTACACACGAATTAGCGAGTCAAAATCCAAGAAGCTGGTGATGGAGGTCTCGTGGGAGGGAGATCCCATCCCAGGGACAAATTCGGACCCCTTACTTATCTTCCCGGACCTTCCCTGGAACGACTCTCATAAGGGGCGGGTCATCGCCTCCCAGGACGATTCACTTCAGACCTCCCCTCTCGACGACTACGTCAACAGTTCCAGGTCATGGAACGCGTCTAACGAGACGTACAGTGGCTACGTCGACACCGATTCCCTGCCCATTGACATGCGTTTTAACGACGGCCACATCCTGCTCATATCCTCCTACTCGGGGATCTTCTTCGTCAGCTTGGTGGGCAACCTGTGTGTGCTTTGGGCCATCTTGGGTGGAGGCCGGAAACAACGCAAATCCCGCGTCAACCTCATGCTCTTGCACCTGGCAATAGCTGACCTTATCGTGAGTAACCCCAACAATATCTTAATATTTTTGTAGTCTCTTTATACTTTTCACAGCTAGAACATGTCTCTCATGTGGTGTCGCATAGCTGCTCTTGGAGTACAGGGGTAACTGACGTATCTTAATTCGTGGAGAGACGCTTCTGTCGCGTGAACAATATCTGTCAGGAAACAATTTAGTTTGTCCTTCTTTGTTGTCTCGCGCATCTGTGTTTTGTGTCGCACTAACAGTTACTGTCATTGCGTTGTTAATTATTATATTATTAGTACTATATTAACATCAATTATAATTATGATAATTAACGCTAATGCCGAAGATTTACACCACATCTGCTGTATGCATAGCAAATGTTTGTATAGTTATGTATGCTGCTTGATGAAGCACTCAGTTATTTGTAGTATATAAAAATATACATACACATTTTCTACTACAGGCCATCGAACCCACACTGAGGTTTTGATAATGGAAATTTTAACAATTCAAATATAGAATTTAGGAAAATCACTAAGTAAACATGTTCCGAAACTCATGATCAAACCACACATCAGAAGATGGTGGAACGACGACGTTTCGGTTCGTCCTGAACCGTTATGTCGTGTGTGCAGCCCGTCCTCCAAAAATAGGGTGGTAAATGTAAGAAGACAAATAAGTGCAATTATGTACTATTCATAGCAGTTAGGAATTGTACTTATTTTCACTTAGTATTAAATCGTACTGTCAAATATATTGTGAATATTTGAGTTTACCTGAAAAACTGAATAGAAAACCACAACCTCACCTAACCTAACCTAACCTAACCTAACCGTCTTAGTTTTTGAAGATAATAATTTTGTCCAGAACGGACCGAAACGTTGTCGTTTCTCCATCTTGTGACTCATTTGTTCTTCTTATCTGTATTATTACAACCTCTACACAGTATTTCCACACAGGAAATTAGTATAGGTTCGTTGTATTAACATCGTATCCATATAATCATAAAGTTATTCATTGGGAAATATTACGATTTGTTAAAAGTTTGAACGCTTATTGGTTATATAGAAACCCTCAAGTGTTTATGGGAAATGTTGTCATTCATATTATATACTGTGCAGCCGTGGGTGACTTAGCAGAGTTACATAACACACATTATGCTACATAGCTGTCTCGGCTTGGTGCCTTCTTTTGATAATTACTTACTTACCACACAGACAGCAGTGACAATACAGAAGTAAATTGTTTTTAAATAAATACATGAGTATAAAGGTTATATTATTATTGTAGTATATTCTGCCGCAATAATTTAATATGGCTAGACTCACTATGTGAATACAAAGGTTACAATAACGAAAAATAGTTACTTCAAGCCCCACATCACCTTTAACAATCCTTGTACTGTCAGGCTTCCCTCTTCTGAACCACTCTGCTCCAACCCCACCATCCTCCACTGCTGCCTCAACAGTGCTTTGCCAGCAGTCGTCACCATCACAGACCATGCCAAAATTGAGAACAAGCCAATTACCAAGTGATCCCGTGGAACGAACCAGACAGGTGGATTGGGTGGCAGACGGTGGTTTAACAACCCATCAGATGATAATGTATGCATGTATTCCGGCAACATCAGTAGAGTGTGAGGATGGGGTACAGTTCACTCGGCTTCCCTAGTTTCAAGAATTGACATTTGTGGCAAGGTTTCTAGGTTGGTAATTCAGGACGGTATATAGGTGTAGTGAGAAGCGTAGCTGCAACTCGGCTATTTAAGCAAATTGCGCGGGAGGTCAGATCTGAGCCGTAAAGATATTAAGAACCTAGTTTGGGGGTCGCGTGATTGAAATGAAAGAAGAGGTAGCCATATATAATGGCCACGTTTTGCTAGATATATTAAATCGGGTTTCCCTGTAACGAGGGATTTCTGACCTAATTCCTCCCGATTTTCTCAAGTCATCAGAAAAGGTGTCATCAACCAGGCGCTAGCGGTAAAGATCACGAAATACATTGACTGCCACATCAGTGACTTGTAGCAAAATCTTCCCAGACATCAATGTCAATCACATTGCCGCGGCTCTGACACGGGATCCATTTGATGAGATGTAGATGATATCCACGGAGAGCTCCAGGATGATTCTGTGAAACTCGAACTCAGTTTCGCAGTAAAAGTTGAATTCCAGTTACCACCTCTTGAGTTCTGAGTAAAAATGTCACCCATTTATTCTGGCGCTGGTATGACTGCTCTACCCTGAGGTCCAGTGACGGTGGTGATACAAGAGTCCAATATGGTGATTACAGTGACAGTAACTGTGTTCTAAAATGACTTTCAAATGTTTTAATTTGATTTATCAAATTTAATTTTTCAAACGTTTTTAATCAACCCGTTCTCGCAAATTTAATAAGTCAATATTGACTTATTAGTTGCGTGCATAGGTGACATACTAAACATAATAGTTTCCCTTGAAAAGCTTCATAGAAAACACCGACCTTACCTAACCTACTTAGTATGTTAAAATAAGCATCTTATAGCTTCGTAATTACAATTGTTACTTAACCTATTATAGGTATAGGTTAGGTAATAATTGTAATTACGAAGCAATAAGATGCTTATCTTAACATACTAAGTAGGTTAGGTAAGGTCGGTGTTTTCTATGAAGCTTTTCAAGGAAAAGTATTATGTTAAGTATGTCACCTATGCACATATTTAATAAGTCAATATTGACTTATTAAATTTGCGAGAACGGGTTGTTTTAATTTAGTTTCCAACTCATACAGTGCTTTTAAACATTTTTGGAAGTGTCGGAAGTCACTAATAAAATTATGAGGTGCGAACTATTTGTTTCTGTTTTAAAGTAAAATGAACAAGTAAATAATTGCAAATACTGTGCTTAGAGGTGTGGCTTAGGCAACGTGGAAGCTCTCATTTACATAACTAGTTAAACGCCGGAAGTCTGTGAACTGAGGACCGCAGAGCGAATGCTTAATAACACCTAATGCCTACTCCCTTGGAGATATAGAGAATGCTCCGTATTGCCCTAGAGCGTGGCGTGGAGCATTTATTGTAAAGAGCAGGGGTGTACCACAGCTGCTAGGGTGTACCGCAGCTGCTAGGGTGTACCACAGCTGCTAGAGTGTACCACAGCTGCTAGGGTGTACCACAGCTGCTAGGGTGTACCGCAGCTGCTAGGGTGTACCACAGCTGCTAGGGTGTACCACAGCTGCTAGGGTGTACCACAGCTGCTAGGGTGTACCGCAGCTGCTAGGGTGTACCACAGCTGCTAGAGTGTACCACAGCTGCTAGGGTGTACCACAGCTGCTAGGGTGTACCACAGCTGCTAGGGTGTACCACAGCTGCTAGGGTGTACCACAGCTGCTAGGGTGTACCACAGCTGCTAGGGTGTACCACAGCTGCTAGAGTGTACCACAGCTGCTAGGGTGTACCACAGCTGCTAGGGTGTACCACAGCTGCTAGGGTGTACCACAGCTGCTAGGGTGTACCACAGCTGCTAGAGTGTACCACAGCTGCTAGGGTGTACCACAGCTGCTAGGGTGTACCACAGCTGCTAGGGTGTACCACAGCTGCTAGGGTGTACCACAGCTGCTAGGGTGTACCACAGCTGCTAGGGTGTACCACAGCTGCTAGAGTGTACCACAGCTGCTAGGGTGTACCACAGCTGCTAGGGTGTACCACAGCTGCTAGGGTGTACCACAGCTGCTAGGGTGTACCACAGCTGCTAGGGTGTACCACAGCTGCTAGAGTGTACCACAGCTGCTAGGGTGTACCACAGCTGCTAGGGTGTACCACAGCTGCTAGGGTGTACCACAGCTGCTAGGGTGTACCGCAGCTGCTAGGGTGTACCACAGCTGCTAGGGTGTACCACAGCTGCTAGGGTGTACCACAGCAGCTAGGGTGTACCACAGCTGCTAGGGTGTACCACAGCTGCTAGGGTGTACCACAGCTGCTAGGGTGTACCACAGCTGCTAGGGTGTACCGCAGCTGCTAGGGTGTACCACAGCTGCTAGGGTGTACCACAGCTGCTAGGGTGTACCACAGCTGCTAGGGTGTACCGCAGCTGCTAGGGTGTACCACAGCTGCTAGGGTGTACCACAGCTGCTAGGGTGTACCACAGCAGCTAGGGTGTACCACAGCTGCTAGGGTGTACCGCAGCTGCTAGGGTGTACCACAGCTGCTAGGGTGTACCACAGCTGCTAGGGTGTACCACAGCTGCTAGGGTGTTCCACAGCTGCTAGGGTGTTCCACAGCTGCTAGAGTGTACCACAGCTGCTAGAGTGTACCACAGCTGCTAGAGTGTTCCACAGCTGCTAGAGTGTTCCACAGCTGCTAGAGTGTTCCACAGCTGCTAGGGTGTACCACAGCTGCTAGGGTGTACCACAGCTGCTAGGGTGTACCACAGCTGCTAGAGTGTTCCACAGCTGCTAGGGTGTACCACAGCTGCTAGGGTGTACCACAGCTGCTAGGGTGTACCACAGCTGCTAGGGTGTTCCACAGCTGCTAGGGTGTTCCACAGCTGCTAGAGTGTACCACAGCTGCTAGAGTGTACCACAGCTGCTAGAGTGTTCCACAGCTGCTAGAGTGTTCCACAGCTGCTAGAGTGTTCCACAGCTGCTAGGGTGTACCACAGCTGCTAGGGTGTACCACAGCTGCTAGGGTGTACCACAGCTGCTAGGGTGTTCCACAGCTGCTAGGGTGTTCCACAGCTGCTAGAGTGTACCACAGCTGCTAGAGTGTACCACAGCTGCTAGAGTGTTCCACAGCTGCTAGAGTGTTCCACAGCTGCTAGAGTGTTCCACAGCTGCTAGAGTGTTCCACAGCTGCTAGGGTGTACCACAGCTGCTAGGGTGTACCACAGCTGCTAGAGTGTACCACAGCTGCTAGGGTGTACCACAGCTGCTAGGGTGTACCACAGCTGCTAGGGTGTACCAAAGCTGCTAGGGTGTACCACAGCTGCTAGGGTGTACCACAGCTGCTAGGGTGTACCACAGCTGCTAGGGTGTACCACAGCTGCTAGAGTGTA